GTGGGACGCGGGAGCGCGCGCGCCCTGCCAACTTCCAGCGCAGCCCCGCCCTTGTCGCCGTTCGCGCCTGGTCCACTTCCGTGACGTCATCCCGGGATCGGCCAATGGGGAGCGTCCACGTCGGGAGACCGCCTCGTGACCGCGCGTCAGTGGAGAGAAAGGCCTTTCCCTTTCTTCTTGCGTCTTCCCCCCTCCCCCGTGCGCAGGCCTCTAGGTCTCCATTTCCGAATTCATTCGGTTCCTGTGTCCGAAATAAAACCACACTTCTCTTTTTGCAAGAAAGCTCTCTCGGCCCTTCGGATTACCTCCCATTGCCAAATGCCAGGGACCAATGTCTGACTGAGGGCTCGTTTTGAAAAGCCTTGCGACACCGACATGGGTGAATCTTGGGCACCTTGGACAGGCCTCAAAACGCGGCTGACACTGAATTTTTACCCGTAGTGACCCAAGACAGGACTGGTTGAGGTCAGTTCGTTAGGTGCTCACCGATCTCAAAAAATACGTCGGGACTATTTTCTAATGCTCTCTTTTCTAGCTAGTGTGGGAAGAGCTGAAGCATCTGTTGCAAGATGCTGATGGAATTTTAGGAACTGGGTGATTCACAGAATTAAAAAAAAAAAAAAAAAAAGCAGGGTCACCAGATAATGCTGCCTGTTCTCCAGTGATTGTTCCTTAAAATGATCACCTGTTTTCCAATTGTGAAGACTAATAAGCGGGATCAATTAAAGAGAAAATTGGAGATCTAATCCTTTCTCGACCGAATTAAGTAATTTCAAGTAGTTTGACCTTACAAAGTTTTAGTTTTAAAGTTTTAAATGAAAATGGGGATAGGATTAGGAAATCTTCCCAATTCCTATGATAGCTATAAATTAATAATCTGTGGATCCATTTTAAACAGTTACTGATAGAAATAACCACAATTGACAAGCCTCCCTTCCTGCTAGGAAATGTTTGATATTTAATTTAGCAATCCATATGACCAAATCCTTTAGAGTTGAACTGGTCCTCCCTTGGAAAGATTAGAAATCTAATCAGTTTTATTGTAAATTGCTTGAAAAAGTTTGTTAACAAATGGGGAGTGGTCGGTCAGGGGTTTGGAAAAGGTGAGTTCAAAGAGTAAGAATGTGTTGGTATTTACCTGTCCTTGCCTATGGAGGATGGGCGTTGCATTTTGGAAACCTGAACAAAGAGTGCCCTTTTGTGGGGCAGAAACCAGTAACGAGGCCTTAATATAACTTGGATGAAACAACTATTCAAATATTCCCCTGTTGATCTGATTCCATTGTCACAAGCTAACGTTTTATTTTTGTTTTTTGAGTTGGAGTCTCACTTTTGTAACCCAGGCTCGAGTGCAGTCTGCAAGATCACAACTACCACAGCCTCCCGGGTTCAGGCCATCCTTCTGCCTCAGCCTTCCAAGTAACTAAAACTGTAGGCATAGGCCACTACGCCCTGCTAATTCTTTTTTTTTTTTTAATTGTGGAGAAGAGGTCTCGCCAAATTGCCCAGGCTGGTCTTGCCTCTGCCTCCCAAAGTACTGGGATTACAGGCATAAACTACCATGTCCTGCATAAGCTAACTTTTGTTTACACATTCTGCTTAGCCAGTATTCCTGATAGCCAACAACAGACTTGAGACATTGGAAAAATATATAGCCTTAGTGTCTTGTTAATGTCGAGATCTGTGAGTCGGATTAATATGAAATAGCCCCAAGAACTTTTTAAATTCTTAATACATAGAAAAATGCAAAGTTAAAGACTTTGCATTTGATATTCACACCAGCATATCCTATGAAGCATTGCTAGAATGATCACCTGGCAGCACTTTAGAATATGTTAGTCTAGGTGTCTTCTAACTAGGTTATTTCTAATCAATAACTTGTTCTTATATTTCTTCTTTGAATCGTATTAAATTTTTATGTTAATTTGAGAAATAGCATGGGATACTAAGTTCTTCCATCCAGGAACATGATAGTGTCAGTCCATTTAGTCAGAACTTTTTGTCTTTAAATAAAATATGAGTTCCTCCCTTTGGATTCATCCAGATTTGTTTATCCTGACTGTATGTTGTTCTTAGGCATTAGCTATTTTTTATGCTTTTGTCTAAGCTTGCCCTCCAGTTCTATTTGATATCTTGATACCAAATAATCCTACTCCAGTTCTTGACCTAGGAGGACGCAGACTTGAACCTTAGCTTCTGTCTACCCTTCTAGTCCTGATTCTTTTTTAAATGAGAGAGGGCCGGCATGGTGGCTCATACCTATAATCCTAGCACTTTGGGAGGCTAAGGTGAGAGGACTGCCTGAGCCAGTGGGCTCGAGACTAGCTTAGACAACTTGGTGAGACCTCATCTTTACAATAAATCAAAAAATTAGCTGGGTGTGGTGGTACATGCTTGTAGTCCCAGCTAACTTGGAAGGCTGAGGTGGAAGGAACACCTGAGCCCAACAGGTCAAGGCTATGGTGGCCGTGAGCATGCCACTGCACTCCAGCCTGCGTGACAGTGAGACTCCAACTCAAAAGAAAGAAATGAGAGAGAAAGAAAATGTATGAGGTGAGGAGGAGGGAATGGGGATTCTAGGGTGGGGTAGGTGGTAGATGGACTTTATAATCTATATCAGGACCTCTCAACTTCCTGTCATGACATACACTATGATAATTTTTGTACAGCACACTAGGGTAAACTAGAAGAGATTTGAAGGCATCTAGATGATGGTTGGTTAAAAAAATTCATAACATTTTCTTTTAAGTATATAATTTTGATAAAAAATGCAAAGTGATAGGAGAGATATTAAATATTGAATTTGCATAAAACTTTCAAATAAAAATTTTCCACATTCTTAATGATCAACTTGAACTTGTTCCTGTGAATATATTTTGGTATTAGATTTTATGGTTGAAATGACTTTATGCAGTTTCTGATCTAGCCTTTTTAATGATGAACTTCTCATATTCTGAATACTCATTATCATTGAGGGACTCTGATCACATAAGTGGGTGATAAAATATTTAAAACCATTTTATACAATCATTCAAAATTTACAATAGTAATTATATTTAAAGAATCTAACAACTCTTCCTCTTCTTTTATTGACAAATGTAATGTCATTTCATGTGATAATGCAAATGGATTTCTAACCCAATAATACATTTTTATATGACGATTTCCACATTGGTATTCTGGCTTTCAGAACATGTATACGTTGTCAACAGCTAGTCTGGATGCCATTAAAAGGACACTGGCTAGCTGGGCACGGTGGCTCACACCTGTAATCCCAGCACTTTGGGAGGCAGAGGAAAGAATTGCCTGAGCCCAGGGATTCGAGAATTTGGGAAGGACTTGTCTCCACAATAACTTAAGGAAAAGAAAACAAATTAACTGGACGTGGTGGCATGCCTGTAGTTCCAGCTGCTTGGAAGGCTGAGGCAGAAGGATCCCCTGAGCCCAGCAGGTTTTGGCTGCGGTGGCTGTGAGCATGCCACAGCACTCCAGCCTGGGCGACAGAGGGAGACTCCCAACTCCCCCCTCCCAAAAGGCAGTGTATGTTAAGACACATATTAAGGATGGTGGCTGGAACTGAGCCCACTAGGAACCTCATTCTGCCCAGGCTCCTGTGTCACCCCAAACAGACTACCTGAAGCTGTGTGCTGTACACCTTGGGCACCTGGATCACAAATTTGTGTATTGGCTCCAGAGTCTCTGGTTCATGATGGGCAGAGGAGTTGTTTGCATATAATTGCCCACGCAGACATCTCCTTGGCCATTCACAGTCAGCAAAACTGTAAGTGTTGGTTATTGTCCATAGTGCTTTTTGCTTGCATGGCACACACCCAGACCATTCTGCACAGCCTGCGCTAAGGAGTCCTAATAAGGCTGCTCGTGACCAAAGGCAGTGGCCCAACAGGCTCTGGCTATCCCAACCCCTCTTAATGCTCTATTGCAGGAAGGGTCAATTTCTTACCGCCATTCAGGACAGCAGTATGCCAAGGTCTGCCAGTCGGGAAGCACTGTCTGGGTTGTGTGCCTCATTTTATGAATGATGAAGCTGTTATGCAGAGTAAGAAGTTGATTTTTCCAAGATTAATAGCAAATTATGGCAAGAGTCAGAATTGAAAAGAAAGAGTATGGAAGTTGAATGAAAGTATTCTAGACAGGAAGAAGTTAATTCTTAGAAGGTAGGACTTAAACTATAGGCTTTGCTATCTGCCAATATATTCATAATACGTCAATAGCTTTATTTTCCAAAATCTTGGTTTTTTTGTCTTGCTTTGTTTTGTTTTGAGTTGGAGTCTCACACAATTGTCCAGGCTGGAGTGTGGTGGCATGCTCACAGCCACTGCAGCCTCAACCTGCTGGGCTGTTTATCCTTCCACCTCAGTCAAGGGCTAGAACCACAGGAGCACACCACCACGCCCGGCTAACCTTTTGGTTTATTGTAGAGAAAAGGTCTCGCCAAGTTGCCCAAGCTAGTTTGAATCCTTGGATTCAGGCAGTCCTCTTGCCTTCACCTCCCAAAGTGCTGAGATTACAGTATGAGCCATTGTACCCAGCTAAAATCTTGGTTTTTAAATAAGGATTATGGGCTGGACTTGGTAGCTCAGCCTGTAATCCCGCGCTTTGGGAGGCTGAGGTGAGTTGATTGCCTGAGGCCGCGGGTTCGAGACCTGCCTGGGCAACTTGGCAAGACCTCATCTCTACAATAAATCAAAAAATTAGCCGGGCATGGTAGCGCACGCCTGTAGTTCCAGCTACTTGGAAGGCTGAGCGGAAGGATCGCCGGAGCCCAGCAGGTCGAGGCTGCGGTGGCTGGGAGCGGCCACTGCACTCCAGTCTGGGCGACAGAGTGAGACTTTAACTCAAAAAATAAACAAATAAATAAATAAATAAGGAGTATGTAAAGTAAAACACAAAATAAAAATATTTCCCCCCCAAATTCTAATATACAGATTTAGCTACAGTTAACAACTTAGTATCCTTTTA